TCTCTACCGAATGAGCTATCAGGGCTTCTGCCGATAGTTTCGATACTTTTGTTTAATAAATAAAAAAGCTTCAGAATGATACAAAGGTTCATAGAAAAAAAAAGAAAAATTTCCCATTCAAGATAAGAAGTTAAACTTTAACACAAGATAAGAAGTAATTTTAACACAAACCCATGTGCCGAACCCTACCTCTCGACTTGATTTTAAGTGTATCCGTCAAAGTTCTCAATCAATCACGAGAAACCTTTTCACGTAAAAAACACGCCCGAACAGGGACTTGAACCCTGGACCGTTAGGTTAAAAGCCTAACGCTCTACCGACTGAGCTATCCGGGCTCGTTTTTTCATTCCTTCCATGGTTCTACAATAGAACAATAGAATTGATTCCGTACTACGTGGGATCAAAAACGTAATTCACTTAAAACAGAACGATCCCATCAATTTTTTGAAACAGTTTTATATTTTTAATTGCATGGTAGTCCATTTTACCAAGAATATTGCGCTTATATAGAATGTTAATGTATTAGTTATCCTTGTAACGTATTGTTTCCTTTGTTAAAAACAATCGCATTTAGAAAAAAATTCTTCTTATTATTTCATTTAATATATTCCGAAGCGTGTGAATAATACAAAGGATTGTGGCAGCAAAAAGAAATGTCCCATCAAAGATTCACAAATTGATTTTGCAGGCAAACTGTTTTGTAGAAACCTACCTCTCGACATTAATTTAACAGAATTCCTCAACTGCTGTATTACTCTACGGTGTGACTTCTTTTGAATAAAAAAGTACGCCCGAACAGGGACTCGAAACCTGGACCATTAGGTTAAAACCTAACGCTCTACCGACTGAGCTACGCGGCTTCTGCCGATGGTTTCGATAGTTTTGTACAAAATAAAAATGCGTCAGAATGATGGAAAGGTTCATAGAAATAAAAACAAAAATCTCCCATTCAAGATAAGAAGTTAATTTTAACACAAACCCATGTGCCGAACCCTACCTCTCGACTTGATTTAAGTGTATCCGTCAAAGTTCTCAATCAATCACGAGAAACCTTTTCACGTAAAAAACACGCCCGAACAGGGACTTGAACCCTGGACCGTTAGGTTAAAAGCCTAACGCTCTACCGACTGAGCTATCCGGGCTCGTTGTTTCTTTCATTCCATGGTTCTAATGTAGAACATAGAATTTGATTCCGTACTACGTGGATCAAAAACGTAATTCACTTAAAACAGAACGATCCATCAATTTTTTGAAACAGTTTTATATTTTTAATTGCATGGTAGTCATTTTACCAGAATATTGCGCTTATATAGAATGTTAATTTATTAGTTATCCTTGTAACGTATTGTTTCTTTGTTAAAACAATCGCATTTAGAAAAAAATTCTTCTTATTATTTCATTTATTATATTCCGAAGCGTGTGAATATACAAAGGATTGTGGCGCAAAAGAAATGTCCCATCAAAGGTTACAAATTGATTTTCAGGCAAACTGTTTCGTAGAAACCTACCTCTCGACATTACTTTAACAGAATTCCTCACTGTGTATTACTCTACGGTGTGACTTCTTTTTGAATAAAAGTACGCCTGAACAGGGACTCGAAACCTGGACCATTAGGTTAAAAACCTACGCTCTACCGACTCAGCTACGCGGGCTTCTGCGATGGTTTCGATAGTTTTGTAACAAATAAAATGCGTCAGAATGATGGAATGTTCATAGAAATAAAAACAAAATCTCCCATTCAAGATAAGAAGTTAATTTAACACAACCCATGTGCCGAACCCTACCTCTCGACTTGATTTTAAGTGTATCCGTCAAAGTTCTCAATCAATCACGAGAACTTTTCACGTAAAAACACGCTCACAGGGACTTGAACCTGGACCGTCAGGTTAAAGCCTAACGCTCTACCGACTGAGCTATCCGGGCTCGTTTTCTTTCATTCCATGGTTCTACTAGAAAAATAGAATTGATTCCGTACTACGTGGGATCGAAAACGTAATTCACTTAAAACAGAACGATCCCATCAATTTTTTGAAACAGTTTTATATTTTTAATTGCATGGTAGTCCATTTTACCAAGAATATTGCGCTTATATAGAATGTTAATGTATTAGTTATCCTTGTAACGTATTGTTTCCTTTGTTAAAACAATCGCATTTAGAAAAAAATTCTTCTTATTATTTCATTTAATATATTCCGAAGCGTGTGAATAATACAAAGGATTGTGGCAGCAAAAGAAATGTCCCATAAAGATTCACAATTGATTTTGCAGGCAAACTGTTTTGTAGAAACTACCTCTCGACATTAATTTAACAGAATTCCTCAACTGCTGTATTACTCTACGGTGTGACTTCTTTTGAATAAAAAAGTACGCCGAACAGGGATCGAACCTGGACCATTAGGTTAAAACCTAACGTCTACCGATGAGCTACTCGGGCTTCTGCGATGGTTTGATAGTTTTGTACAAATAAAATGCGTCAGAATGATGGAAGGTTCATAGAAAATAAAAACAAAAATCTCCCATTCAAGATAAGAAGTTAATTTTAACAAACCCATGTGCGAACTACCTCTCGACTTGATTTAAGTGTATCCGTCAAAGTTCTCAATCATCACGAGAAACTTTTCACGTAAAAACACGCTCGAACAGGGATTGAACCTGGACCGTAGGTTAAAAGCCTACGCTCTACGACTGAGCTATCCGGGGTCGTTGTTCTTTCATTCCATGGTTTACTGTAGAATAAAAGAATTGATTCGTATTCGTGGGATCGAAAACGTAATTCACTTAAAACAGAACTATCCATCAAATATTTTGAAACAGATATTTTATTGATGTAATCGATTTTAGCAAGAATATTTTGCTTATATAGATTGTTAATTTATTATTTATCCGTGTAACATATTGTTTATTTGTTAAAACAATCGCATTTAGAAAAATTCTTCTTATACTTTCATTTAATATTTCCGAAGCGTGTGAATAATACAAAGGATTGGGGCAGCAAAAGAAAGTCCATCAAAGGTTCACAATTGATTTTCAGGCAACTGTTTGTAGAACCTACTCTCGACATTAATTTAACAGAATTCCTCAACTGTATTACTGTATGGTGTGATTCTTTTGAATGAAAAGTACGCCGAACAGGGACTTCAACCATGGACCGTTAGGTTAAAGCTAACTCTCTACGAATGAGCTATCAGGGCTTCTGCCGATAGTTTCGATACTTTTGTTTAATAAATAAAAAGCTTCAGATGATACAAAGGTTCATAGAAAAAAAAAAGAAAATTTCCCATTCAAGATAGAAGTTAACTTTACACAAACCTTCTGTCGAACCCTACCTCTCGACTTGATTTGAAGAGAATTCGTCAAAGTTCTTACTAATTCATGAGAATCTTTCTCAACTAAAAAGTTCGCCCGAACAGGGACTCGAACCCTGGACCGTTAGGTTAAAAGCCTAACGCTCTACCGACTGAGCTATCCGGGCTCGTTTTTTCATTCCTTCCATGGTTCTACAATAGAACAATAGAATTGGATTCCGTACTACGTGGGATCGAAAACGTAATTCACTTAAAACAGAACTATCCATCAAATATTTTGAAACAGATATATTTTAATTGATGTAATCGATTTTAGCAAGAATATTTTGCTTATATAGATTGTTAATTTATTATTTATCGTTGTAACATATTGTTTATTTGTTAAAACAATCGCATTTAGAAAAAAATTCTTCTTATACTTTCATTTAATATATTCCGAAGCGTGTGAATAATACAAGGATTGTGGCAGCAAAAAGAAATGTCCCAACAAAGGTTCACAAATTGATTTTGCAGGCAAACTGTTTCGTAGAAACCTACCTCTCGACATTAATTTAACAGAATTCCTCAACTGCTGTATTACTCTACGGTGTGACTTCTTTTGAATAAAAAAGTACGCCCGAACAGGGACTCGAAACCTGGACCATTAGGTTAAAACCCTAACGCTCTACCGACTGAGCTACGCGGGCTTCTGCCGATGGTTTTGATAGTTTTGTACAAAATAAAAATGCGTCAGAATGATGGAAAGGTTCATAGAAATAAAAAACAAAAATCTCCCATTCAAGATAAGAAGTTAATTTTAACACAAACCCATGTGCCGAACCCTACTCTCGACTTGATTTTAAGTGTATCGTCAAAGTTCTCAATCAATCACGAGAAACCTTTTCACGTAAAAAACACGCTCGAACAGGGACTTGAACCTGGACCGTTAGGTTAAAAGCCTAACGCTCTACCGACTGAGCTATCCGGGGTCGTTGTTTCTTTCATTCCATGGTTCTACTGTAGAATAAAAGAATTGATCTCGTACTTCGTGGGATCGAAAACGTAATTCACTTAAAACAGAACTATCCCATCAAATATTTTGAAACAGATATATTTTATTGCATGTAATCGATTTTAGCAAGAATATTTTGCTTATATAGATTGTTAATTTATTATTTATCCGTGTAACATATTGTTTATTTCTTAAAACAATCGCATTTAGAAAAAAATTCTTCTTATACTTTCATTTAATATATTCCGAAGCGTGTGAATAATACAAAGGATTGTGGCAGCAAAAAGAAATGTCCCATCAAAGGTTCACAAATTGATTTTCAGGCAAACTGTTTCGTAGAGACCTGCCTCTCGACATTAATTTAACAGAATTCCTCAACTGTATTACTGTATGGTGTGACTTCTTTTGAATGAAAAAGTACGCCCGAACAGGGACTTCAACCATGGACCGTTAGGTTAAAAGCCTAACTCTCTACCGAATGAGCTATCAGGGCTTCTGCCGATAGTTTCGATACTTTTGTTTAATAAATAAAAAAGCTTCAGAATGATACAAAGGTTCATAGAAAAAAAAAGAAAAATTTCCATTCAAGATAAGAAGTTAACTTTAACACAACCCTTCTGTCGAACCCTACTCTCGACTTGATTTGAAGAGAATTCGTCAAAGTTCTTACTAATTCATGAGAATCTTTCTCAACTAAAAAGTTCGCCCGAACAGGGACTCGAAACCCTGGACCGTTAGGTTAAAAGCCTAACGCTCTAACCGACTGAGCTATCCGGGCTCGTTTTTTCATTCCTTCCATGGTTCTACAATAGAACAATAGAATTGATTCCGTACTACGTGGATCAAAAACGTAATTCACTTAAAACAGAACGATCCATCAATTTTTTGAAACAGTTTTATATTTTTAATTGCATGGTAGTCATTTTACCAAGAATATTGCGCTTATATAGAATGTTAATGTATTAGTTATCCTTGTAACGTATTGTTTCCTTTGTTAAAAACAATCGCATTTAGAAAAAAATTCTTCTTATTATTTCATTTAATATATTCCGAAGCGTGTGAATAATACAAAGGATTGTGGCAGCAAAAAGAAATGTCCATCAAAGATTCACAAATTGATTTTGCAGGCAAACTGTTTCGTAGAAACCTACCTCTCGACATTAATTTAACAGAATTCCTCAACTGCTGTATTACTCTACGGTGTGACTTCTTTTGAATAAAAAAGTACGCCCGAACAGGGACTCGAAACCTGGACCATTAGGTTAAAAACCTAACGCTCTACCGACTGAGCTACGCGGGCTTCTGCCGATGGTTTCGATAGTTTTGTACAAAATAAAAATGCGTCAGAATGATGGAAAGGTTCATAGAAAATAAAAACAAAATCTCCCATTCAAGATAAGAAGTTAATTTTAACACAAACCCATGTGCCGAACCCTACCTCTCGACTTGATTTTAAGTGTATCCGTCAAAGTTCTCAATCAATCACGAGAAACCTTTTCACGTAAAAAACACGCCCGAACAGGGACTTGAACCCTGGACCGTTAGGTTAAAAGCCTAACGCTCTACCGACTGAGCTATCCGGGGTCGTTGTTTCTTTCATTCCATGGTTCTACTGTAGAATAAAAGAATTGATCTCGTACTTCGTGGGATCGAAAACGTAATTCACTTAAACAGAACTATCCCATCAAATATTTTGAAACAGATATATTTTATTGCATGTAATCGATTTTAGCAAGAATATTTTGCTTATATAGATTGTTAATTTATTATTTATCCGTGTAACATATTGTTTATTTGTTAAAACAATCGCATTTAGAAAAAAATTCTTCTTATACTTTCATTTAATATATTCCGAAGCGTGTGAATAATACAAAGGATTGTGGCAGCAAAAAGAAATGTCCATCAAAGTTCACAAATTGATTTTCAGGCAAACTGTTTCGTAGAGACCTACCTCTCGACATTAATTTAACAGAATTCCTCAACTGTATTACTTGGTGTGACTTCTTTTGAAAAAAAAGTACGAAAAACAAATGACGTTAGTTAAAAGTAATTTACCAATACTATCAGGTTGCCAAAGTTCGATACTTTGTTTAATAAATAAAAAACTCAGAATGATAAAAAGGTCATAGAAAAAAAAAATTCCATTCAAATAAGAAGTTAACTCTAACAAAACCTCTGTGAACCCTACTCTCACTGATTTGAAGGAATCGTCAAGTTCTTACTAATTCATGAGAATCTTCTAACTAAAAAGTCGCCCGAACAGGGACTCGAACCCTGGACCGTAGGTTAAAAGCCTACGCTCTACCGACTGAGCTATCCGGGCTCGTTTTTTCATTCTTCCATGGTTCTAACAATAGAACAATAGAATTGATTCCGTACTACGTGGGATCAAAAACGTAATTCACTTAAAACAGAACGATCCCATCAATTTTTTGAAACAGTTTTATATTTTTAATTGCATGGTAGTCCATTTTACCAAGAATATTGCGCTTATATAGAATGTTAATGTATTAGTTATCCTTGTAACGTATTGTTTCCTTTGTTAAAAACAATCGCATTTAGAAAAAAATTCTTCTTATTATTTCATTTAATATATTCCGAAGCGTGTGAATAATACAAAGGATTGTGGCAGCAAAAAGAAATGTCCCATCAAAGATTCACAAATTGATTTTGCAGGCAAACTGTTTTGTAGAAACTACCTCTCGACATTAATTAACAGAATTCCTCAACTGCTGTATTACTCTACGGTGTGACTTCTTTTGAATAAAAAAGTACGCCCGAACAGGGACTCGAAACCTGGACATTAGGTTAAAACCTAACGCTCTAACCGACTGAGCTACGCGGGCTTCTGCCGATGGTTTCGATAGTTTTGTACAAAATAAAAATGCGTCAGAATGATGGAAAGGTTCATAGAAAATAAAAACAAAAATCTCCCATTCAAGATAAGAAGTTAATTTTAAACACAAACCCATGTGCCGAACCCTACCTCTCGACTTGATTTTAAGTGTATCCGTCAAAGTTCTCAATCAATCACGAGAAACCTTTTCACGTAAAAAACACGCCCGAACAGGGACTTGAACCCTGGACCGTTAGGTTAAAAGCCTAACGCTCTACCGACTGAGCTATCCGGGCTCGTTGTTTCTTTCATTCCATGGTTCTACTGTAGAATAAAAGAATTGATCTCGTACTTCGTGGGATCGAAAACGTAATTCACTTAAAACAGAACTATCCCATCAAATATTTTGAAACAGATATATTTTATTGCATGTAATCGATTTTAGCAAGAATATTTTGCTTATATAGATTGTTAATTTATTATTTATCCGTGTAACATATTGTTTATTTGTTAAAACAATCGCATTTAGAAAAAAATTCTTCTTATACTTTCATTTAATATATTCCGAAGCGTGTGAATAATACAAAGGATTGTGGCAGCAAAAAGAAATGTCCCATCAAAGGTTCACAAATTGATTTTCAGGCAAACTGTTTCGTAGAGACCTACCTCTCGACATTAATTTAACAGAATTCCTCAACTGTATTACTGTATGGTGTGACTTCTTTTGAATGAAAAAGTACGCCCGAACAGGGACTTCAACCATGGACCGTTAGGTTAAAAGCCTAACTCTCTACCGAATGAGCTATCAGGGCTTCTGCCGATAGTTTCGATACTTTTGTTTAATAAATAAAAAAGCTTCAGAATGATACAAAGGTTCATAGAAAAAGAAAAATTTCCCATTCAAGATAAGAAGTTAACTCTAACACAAACCCTTCTGTCGAACCCTACCTCTCGACTTGATTTGAAGAGAATTCGTCAAAGTTCTTACTAATTCATGAGAATCTTTCTCAACTAAAAAGTTCGCCCGAACAGGGACTCGAACCCTGGACCGTTAGGTTAAAAGCCTAACGCTCTACCGACTGAGCTATCCGGGCTCGTTTTTTCATTCCTTCCATGGTTCTACAATAGAACAATAGAATTGATTCCGTACTACGTGGGATCAAAAACGTAATTCACTTAAAACAGAACGATCCCATCAATTTTTTGAAACAGTTTTATATTTTTAATTGCATGGTAGTCCATTTTACCAAGAATATTGCGCTTATATAGAATGTTAATGTATTAGTTATCCTTGTAACGTATTGTTTCCTTTGTTAAAAACAATCGCATTTAGAAAAAAATTCTTCTTATTATTTCATTTAATATATTCCGAAGCGTGTGAATAATACAAAGGATTGTGGCAGCAAAAAGAAATGTCCCATCAAAGATTCACAAATTGATTTTGCAGGCAAACTGTTTCGTAGAAACCTACCTCTCGACATTAATTTAACAGAATTCCTCAACTGCTGTATTACTCTACGGTGTGACTTCTTTTGAATAAAAAAGTACGCCCGAACAGGGACTCGAAACCTGGACCATTAGGTTAAAAACCTAACGCTCTACCGACTGAGCTACGCGGGCTTCTGCCGATGGTTTCGATAGTTTTGTACAAAATAAAAATGCGTCAGAATGATGGAAAGGTTCATAGAAAATAAAAACAAAAATCTCCCATTCAAGATAAGAAGTTAATTTTAACACAAACCCATGTGCCGAACCCTACCTCTCGACTTGATTTTAAGTGTATCCGTCAAAGTTCTCAATCAATCACGAGAAACCTTTTCACGTAAAAAACACGCCCGAACAGGGACTTGAACCCTGGACCGTTAGGTTAAAAGCCTAACGCTCTACCGACTGAGCTATCCGGGCTCGTTGTTTCTTTCAATCCATGGTTCTACTGTAGAATAAAAGAATTGATCTCGTACTTCGTAGGATCGAAAACGTAATTCACTTAAAACAAAACTATCCCATCAAATATTTTGAAACAGATATATTTTATTGCATGTAATCGATTTTAGCAAGAATATTTTGCTTATATAGATTGTTAATTTATTATTTATCCGTGTAACATATTGTTTATTTGTTAAAACAATCGCATTTAGAAAAAAATTCTTCTTATACTTTCATTTAATATATTCCGAAGCGTGTGAATAATACAAAGGATTGTGGCAGCAAAAAGAAATGTCCCATCAAAGGTTCACAAATTGATTTTCAGGCAAACTGTTTCGTAGAGACCTACCTCTCGACATTAATTTAACAGAATTCCTCAACTGTATTACTGTATGGTGTGACTTCTTTTGAATGAAAAAGTACGCCCGAACAGGGACTTCAACCATGGACCGTTAGGTTAAAAGCCTAACTCTCTACCGAATGAGCTATCAGGGCTTCTGCCGATAGTTTCGATACTTTTGTTTAATAAATAAAAAAGCTTCAGAATGATACAAAGGTTCATAGAAAAAAGAAAAATTTCCCATTCAAGATAAGAAGTTAACTCTAACACAAACCCTTCTGTCGAACCCTACCTCTCGACTTGATTTGAAGAGAATTCGTCAAAGTTCTTACTAATTCATGAGAATCTTTCTCAACTAAAAAGTTCGCCCGAACAGGGACTCGAACCCTGGACCGTTAGGTTAAAAGCCTAACGCTCTACCGACTGAGCTATCCGGGCTCGTTTTTTCATTCCTTCCATGGTTCTACAATAGAACAATAGAATTGATTCCGTACTACGTGGGATCAAAAACGTAATTCACTTAAAACAGAACGATCCCATCAATTTTTTGAAACAGTTTTATATTTTTAATTGCATGGTAGTCCATTTTACCAAGAATATTGCGCTTATATAGAATGTTAATGTATTAGTTATCCTTGTAACGTATTGTTTCCTTTGTTAAAAACAATCGCATTTA